TGTATGGTAAAATTTCAAAAAGCTCTCATAAAGTCGTTCAAAATCCCACGTTGTCCCACGACCGCATGATTTTCAGGGTATAAATTTGAAAAGGAACTTCTCTCCGTGCACTTGATCCGGTCTTACCGAACGACAGTACGATGTAAAAATGATCTCTATATGGTGACTTTATTGCGCGCACGAGCAAGTTCACGCGTTTCCGGTCGGCTGCGATGCGCTAACTGCGTCTGGAGTGCAATGAACGCGAGTTCGCGACGAGGTAGTCGAATAGCAGGAGGGTTAAAGAGGCCGCGGGGGGGTGAGATGTACACTGCTGCAAAAGCAACGACCGAGGCTGACCTGAATCTACGGACGGTGCGATGAAAAGAGAACGACAAAAGCTGCGATCTGCGGCACGAGGGCGAGAGTGAAAATACGTAAAATAGGCCGCGAGACCGCTCATGTACCACATACACATCTACTCCCCCTCTCCCCCTCTCTTATACTATATATATATATATATAATAGAGAAAGGGGATGGTGGTGTGTACATTATGTATATACATATACATGTGTATGTACGTATACACTCTCGTCCCTTCAAATTGCAACGTATGGTCCAATCGCATCAGAGATCGGAGAAATTGTACAGTTGCGGTCTGCGCTATTTAATGTTTAAGGGGATCCTAAAACCACTGGCGAACCCGATCAGTGTCGATAAGATAGGAGACGGAATTAAAAACGTTAATTATCGACATTTTTTATTCCAAGTCCTACTTTAGATGTCACCTCGGACCGGTGTTTTCGGCAGCAGTAAAGAAAAAATTGGAGGGCAGCCCTCCGATCTTGCATCCTTGGAGCAAGCAATGGTAACTTTATTAGCTACACATTGCTCGGACCGAGCTTTTGGATCGAATTCTAGCAACGTCTATGGCTTTACTGACAATCTGACTTGCGTTTATTAGAAGTAATCTTTTTTTCTAGGCTATTAATCTAATATGTTGTCCCTAGAGTATGCTGGTCTCATTTTGCATATATTTATTGTAGAATTCTTGTATCAAGCAAACATTGTCGTTCAAGTGTACCGAAAATTAGTAAAATTTTTAATTCTTTTTCGTTTTTTACATAAAGTCGACCAGTCTAGATTTTGCCGCGTGCTTTAATTCCGTAAAAGAGTTTTGCATTTCTATAAAACCAATTAAAAGATTACTTCTAACAAAGAACGTCGATAAAACAGTCGGCTTTAGGATGCCCTTAAGCACCGGTGACGCAGTGGAAAGGCACGATTTCTACCGCGACGCAGAAGCGTGGAATTGTTCGCATCGCGGTGAGACGAGATACGAATTTACTTTTGAATCCGCGGAAGAACACCGTCCGCCATATAATCGAAAACAGAAAGTTCGCGACGCGTAATTCCCGTAGGAAATGGATCCGCCTTAAGTCTGTATTTTTTAAAATTGCAGAAAGCACGTGATCTCTCTTTTTTCGCGGAGATTACGCGTGGCGGGGCTCCGCGGGGAGGAGCTCCGTTGATTTTCATTTTTTTAAATAATGGATTTCAGACAGTTTGGAAATAAGTTCCTCGATTTTCCCGCGGGTAAACCCGCGGCGGCGGTGAGACGAGTAAAACGACGTCGAATGAAAGGTAAACACGCGTATTATAAACCCTCCGCAAATCCCGCGCGGAAAACAAACGCGCGCGTTTGTTTTTTAATTTAAGCGCGAGTCCCGAAGATGAAATGAGATAAATCGTGTTAAACTTTCATATCTCCACGTAGATGATTATTAATGTTTAAACGCCTCGCCGCGCTCTTGTTATCCCTCCGTGGCGCGAATTGCGAGTAACGTCATCCCGTGAAACACCGCGCGAGCGGAGGCAGGTGGTAAGATCGTGGACGGGAGGAAAGAGGGGGAGAAAAACGAGGAAACCGGGGATACCGAATTGGTGTAATCGAGATCGACGTTGTCGATGGTAAAGGTTGAAGGGTATCGTAAATTTGTCGGCGACGCGAAAAGAGGAGTGTACCTGCGAGCGTTAGTTACGTCACCGCTGTGCGGCACGTCGGAGAGGCTCCGAAGATCCGAAGACACCCGCCACTGCGGACGCGGGGACCTCGGGGCCGGGGCAAATTAGTTCCGTTCGAATTTCGTGTCGTAATCCCCGGGCACGCGAGAAACGTCAGAAAGAACCGACGCTCGTATACGGCATCTTGTACTTGCCGCTCCTCCCCCGAGGATTCTTGCGAACGTGAGAGCTTTGCATGCCGCCCGATCTAACGCTCCCCGTTGTATACGTGGTCCTGATTTTTAAACAAAATATTACGTGCGCGCGCGCGTGTGGTCCGGATCGAAGCACGCTACACTTTTGGGATTAAAAGAAGCTACATTACCGAGAGAGATTAAGAAACTGCGCACACAATATTTAATAATAAAACAAGTTTCGAAACATTTCGGAAACATCCTATTGTTCGCAACGTTCTATTTCGATTCTTTTCATAATGCAGGGAGACGAGGGGCGCGGCCCTCAGGGTATCAAGTTTGTACCTACATCTCTCATGACTAGATAAATAATATATGAGCGATATAGATGTAAATAACAAAGATTTATTCATCACGCGCGAGGATTATATCTTATTCATCTTTTTAGTTGACGTCGTTTTTATTCGCTGCCGTGAACTTATTCGTAAGAAAATTGGAAAGCTTATTTTTAAGCTGTCTCAAATCTATATTTAGAAAATAGAAAGCGAGACACGAGAGTTTTGCAAGTCCATATAGAAAGTAGATTTACATTTTACACCATGAATTATATATTTTTTATTTATTTACCAACAGAGGCTCTTAATATGAGATAGCGGTGTTTCTACTAAATTACCAGACATTATCTGTTGATTCCATCACGAATTTATTATTGGAGTGAAATCTCTGCTTGGCAGAAAATTCATTGTTAGATCGTGTAATCGTTGCGAGAAAAGATTTGTAATTGAATTTGGATGATGAAAACCTGCTGTCTCATATTAGAAGCTTATCTCATAATACGGGACTTTCCTCCATATAAAGAAAATTGGATGCATCTATTGAGCGTTTTCACTCTGGTGTGCATAATAAAAAAAACAATTAGAATAAAATTCAAAACAAACTTTGAGAGCGTAGTTTCCCTAACATCCATCGTATCGCAGAATGGAACTTCCCTCATCGAGAATGGAGCGCGTAAAGATTGTAGAACTTTCTCATTCAGATGTGCTTACAATGAGCTCTGGCCTGGTTGCGTCTGCCATAGATGATGATTCAAACAAGAAATTAACGAGCTAGTTCTCGACAGTGTCTTCTCTTCTTTTATCCTAACAATCTAACATTCGACGCATGAAATTTAATTATCAGAGTTCTTCGATTTATACAAACACGGTATGAAGAGTAATCCTTCGTTGTTAAATGATTTAGATATCTATTAGATTATTCGATTTTTATGATTTTAATTCAGGATTTTTACGGTATTGCAATTCCGCGTGACTTAGGCCTGGTTGCACCAATGTCGCTTAACTTTAGCCCCATTCACTCTTCGTCTCTTTCTAACCGTTTCCCTTAGAAAGAGACGAAGTTGGTGCAACCGGGCCTTATTGTGCATTTATTGTTAGCGAAATTATTTCGACACGAAGCCCTTTCGAAAGATTTATTATTTTTTATACAAATATGTCGATATGTATCACGGTATTATCGCGATATAGTAAATATTGCTTTATACTTTCTCGATTGTCCCGATATCTCGAACTTTGTATCGCTTGTGACGCTTCATCCGACACTTGCCGTCGTGAAGATGAGGATCCCGTATCGCTTCGTTAAGCGCGCGAGTTAAAGCTACGATCCGGTGCATGGTTGGCTGACTGTGTCCCTCCTATCCGCGGAATCGGGCCGTTTAGGACTACATTTCGTCGAGAATTTCCACCGGCGAAGCCGCGTAATAGCTTTCGGTAGTTTGAACGCCTACAGAGGTAATTTGTTTCGGGGAGCGAGCTGGGCGAGCAAGGGGTTGGGCGAGGGCGGAGGGCGCTCGTTTAGCCATTCGTTCCTGGACGAATTTTATTGAAACTTTATGAACGAAAGAAGAGCTGTGTTCCAGATTCGGCACGACAGAAAGGAAATTGGAAACAGAAACAGGATCATCGCGGGAGCGATAACTCGTGAATCGTGCGCTTTTCAGGCAAATCGATTGTCTCTGCATGTGATGGTAATAGTGGTAACCGCTTGAGATAATTGAAGAAAATGTAGTGAGGACAATCTCTCTCATGCAGTACGCGAGGATTAAGCGCTGAATGATATTGAAACCTTTACGAAATCTCTTGTGCGCTGTTAAAAATAGTCTTCCAAAGCAGTTTATCCTCATCTCTTACCATTTATATATTCTTTCCGTTAAATTTCGTCATTGTTTTCAATGCTGCTCATGCAAGTTTCGAATCATTTGTAGTTGGCGCTTCAAGAGAAAGAATAGATTTCTGTCGAAGTCAAATATTTGCTCGGAATTGTATCTTCTCATTTTTCAGGAATTATGGGTCCATTCTGGTTTGTTAGGTCAAAAAAATCGAAAAATTTTTTTGCATAATTTGATAGCCCTAAGTGTGTAGAATATTGTGATAAAAGTACAAAGTGAAATTTGTAACGATTTTAAAGTTATGAGCCTCTGAACCAGCCGTGCGCAGGCAGGTGGCAAGCGCGCACCGCAGGTATACGGCGGCCGCTTTACAACATGGACCTAAGAATCTCTGGACCGAGCACGAAGTGGGAGAACGGGCAAGGGGGCTGTTAAATTTGCGGTAAGGGGGGGCGAGAGTGCTCTCCTTTTCTGTCCTCTTGGTATCTCTTTCTACAAGAGGACAGAAAAGGAGAGCACTCTCGCCCCCCTTACCACAAATTTAACAGCCCCCTCGCCGTATGCTCGGTCCAGAGATTCTTAGGTCCATGCTTTACAATAGGTCCATTCCTCGTCGGTACATCCAAATACCGGTCGAACAACTTTTTTGGCTATTAAGTTGTTATTTCTGACACCAGGTAGAGTCTGTCTAGAAAAAACCGAGTCGGTTCTATAACCTACAAAAAACCTACCAAAAACACGTCCTCGTGTCTGTGCTTATCTCACAATCAGTTTGGTTTTAACGAAGTTGTAAGTGTATTATAACAATGTATTGTGATAAAAAGTGCGGAAAACAGTCTGAAGATCATCCTGGTCATCGAAATCGGAAAAGAAAATTCATTGGAAACCGATTTTCGAACGAAAACGAGACGGAATTCGCTAGCACGTCGGCGAAGAAATTAGCAGGTTCCGACGATTTAGACGCGATTGTTACACCAAGTCATGTGTTTGCAATAATAAATTTTACACTTGTTTTTTCTTCTCTCTCTAACATTTTAAAGTATAAAACATGTAATGGCGATGTGACTTTTGGGAAAAAAGACGAACAAGGCTTAGGTTTTCAACTCGCTGTAAAATGCAAATGCGGAGACTCTTTTATTTATTCTTGTGAAAAGATAGCCAACAAGTCATATGAAATAAATCGAAGATTAGTTTTTGTCATGCGATTGCTAGGAATTGGAATAAAAGGAATCAATACTTTCTTGGGTTTGATGGATCTTGGAAAAAAAATGAGCATATCAACGTACTACTCTACGGTCGACAATATATTCGTTTCTGCATGCGCAGTGTTCAATCAAGTCATCAAAAAAGCAGGTTGCCAGGAAAAAGAAAAAAATGCTGCGGATGGAAATGAAGAAAATAAACTCATCGTATCAGGAGATGGAACATGGAGCAAACGTGGTTTTTCTTCTCTGTTTGGTGTGGTAATTGTAATTGGACATTATACTAGTAAAATACTCGACGTTTTGGTGAAGTCTAGTTTTTGTAAATCTTGTACCATAAATAAACAAAAATTAGAGGAAACGGAATATGAAACATGGTATAGCGAGCATGTACAAGATTGTCTTGCAAATCACAAAGGAAGTGCCGGAGGTATGGAAGTTCAAGGCATGTTAGAAATATTTGCAAGAGCCGAAGATCTACACGGCGCGAAATATAAAAAGTACATTGGGGATGGCGATACCAAGACGTTCGAAGCTCTATCGCAACAGGACGAAGAAGTAGAAAATAAAGAGTGTGTAAACCACGTGCAAAAAAGGATGGGTTTGAGACTTCGTAACGCAAAAAAAATGGACCAAAACTTAGGTGGACGAGGTGTCGGAAAACTGACAGACAGATTGATAAACAAATTGACTATTTATTATGGACTCGCAATAAGACGTAACCCCAATGACGTTGACAAAATGATTAATGACATGTGGGCTACTTTTGAACACAAAATTTCAACGAACGAAAAACCTATGCACGAACGTTGTCCAAGCGGGCCGGCTTCATGGTGCAAGTGGCGGCAAGCTGAAGCGGCTGGAACTTTGAGCAGCTACAATCATCGCCCTCCTCTCGACTCTAAGGTGCAGGAAGTCATTCGAACGATATATGAAGATTTGTCATCGCATGATTTACTGATTCGTTGCCGTGGAGGATTTACTCAAAACAATAACGAGAGTTTCAACAAAACTATTTGGCAGTTCGCACCAAAACACGTTTTCAGCGACTCTAATATCATTCAAATAGCCGCATTTCTAGCCACCTGTATTTTCAATGAAGGTTTCAAACCTATTTTGAAAATTATGGAAACCATGGGCATCACCATCGGCCCATATGCAGACCTATTTGCCTCTAATCGTGACGCAGAGCGCATAAAAGATGCAGAGCGACGAACGTTCTATCATTCCGTGGAACAAAGAATGGCTCGAAGTAACGAGAATTTGAATACCCGGCGCAATTTTGAGGAAACTGAGGGGTTACTCTATGGGCCTGGAATAGCTGATTAGCTGTAAGTTTCCACATATAAACATTTATATCAATGAAAACTTAACTTGAAACTTTAAACGCATTTTCCCGAAAACCACATTTTTCGACTTGGCGGAAGTAATAACTCACACAATTTTCAACGAATCACATCCGGTCTTTTTTTAACATGTATAAAAATGTTTGTTCTATGGAATAGACTATTATTATATCGATATCTGTAATATTTTATTTTTTATCAACACAAAAGTATCGGAAATTTTTAGCAAAAAGTGAACATTATTTTTGAAATGTCGCCATTTTGTCAATTTTTGTTCAAACTTATTTTCTTTAGTCTATTCCAGAATTACAATTATTCTTAACAGAAAAATCGTTGTGTTAGCTGTTTCAGACAAATTTTAAGGCCTGGAGAACTTCCGCCAGGACGCCATGGTTGGCGCGCAGAGATTTTGGCTGCTGCATATTCCGCTGCAGTAAATTAATAAAATTGACTAAAAGTTTTTTTTAAATATACTTTAAAGTGTAATAAATACAATATAAAAGGTTTTAGTTTCTACGATGTTTACTTTTTTTACAAAAAATTCACAAACATTGCCTATTTTTTAACCTAACAAACCAGAATGGACCCTTATCTTGAAAAGCCTTTCAATTCATTGCGCAGTTCTTCAATGTTCGCGATTTTTTCCCTATTTAGAGAATATGACATATTGGAGTAGCTCGTTATAATCGCTGCCGATATCTTCTACCTCGACTATTAAGCTCAAAGCCTGTTTTATCCAGTTTGTTCTTTGAGCATTTGGTTTTACCTCATCTTCGGTAGGCTGCTAACCTTGCCGAAGAAAACCTCCAATCTGGAGGGCTATACACCCTAAAGGGTTGTGTGTGGCAGGACATTTTCGGTGGTTGCCACTTCCCCTTGGGAAAAAAAACAGCGGTCTCCGTGGAGTTGAACTCTGATCTTTTTCGTTCATCTGCTTACTAAGCAACGTACATTTCTCTGCGCCACACTCGCCATCATAGCAATATCATGTTTGTTTATTATGTGTGTGTGTGAGAGAGAGAGAGAGAGGGGGGGAGAGGAAGAGACAGAGACAGAGACAGAGGAGGAGAAAGAAAAAAAGAAACGAATGATAAGGAGCCATATTTTTCGGCTCGTTGAGCCATTCGTCACGACCAGAGAGACGATTGATATGCTGAACGAGTTGTCCCCGACGACGTAGATGGATGGGCGTCTAGATTCCGTGGATCGCAGGTGCGATTCATACTATTACCCAGAACTCCTCCTTTACTATCGACCTCTTTTCTCCTCGCATTATTCATCCACTCATTGCGCTGAATTTAGGGAGCTAAATAACCGGGAAGAAAAATAATTAAAAATATTATTAAGCTGAGAAAACGTCGATTTTTACTGCCCGCCCTCACAGTGTGCCTAAAATATTACCCTGTTTAAGGAAACAATCGGCGTATAATTTACTTGAGGAGGCAAGTTGAAGGAAGATTTTAAGATGTGCGATCGGCTGCGACACAAACCAGGCAATAAGAGTCGGTGTGCGCTTGACGAAAGCAAGCGACCAATTTTTCTCGTTGCGATTCTGTCAATGTATTCGTCGATCGTACAGCTATCTTAACGATAAGTCAAATCGTTGATGAACGATTCGACTTATCGTTAAGATAATCGATGTAATAAGAACATCAATGAACAAGATCGATCGAAAAAACGTGTCAGGATATGAGAGGTTTTATCTAGCCTGATTTTTATATTTTTAACCGATTACGTGTACTTTGATTTTGTATCTAGACGAGTCCCAATTTGGAATCGTAACGAATCTATTTGGTTTGTGCCTCATGAATAAAGCTATTCATTAGCTGGATCGATTAATCTATGATCGGGCATTTGTTGTTTGCGTCCTGTCAAGCACGTATTGTCTCGCATTTTCTGATCTACTTGGGTCTAATAACTTCCGCGGATCTATGTACACTTCGATCTGGTTTTCCCGCAGAATAAATCATCACATTTCTCGAGCTACAATATTAAATTATATCTTTCGTGCCACGCTGTAAAAGGTACTCGAGAGTGAAATAAAGATCTATGTTACCCGCTCCGGAACCGCCAATGATTTACAGCTACCCAAACATTAAAGGTCTCGTCTCTCGTAAAACTTGTAGCCGATACGACCTGATTTTTAAGCCTTCGTTCGATCGTGCATCTCAATTTCAAATACGTTGTTAGATATCTCAACTTTCCTGCCGGCTAACGATACATAAACTTGGTAGAATTGATCGTAAACTGCTAGTTGCCAAGATTTTTTCGCTTTTTGATACGCGGAGGGAATCGCCGTGCGACCGAGGCGAGGCCGCGAGAGAGAGAGAGAGGGGGGGAAAGAGAGAGAGAGAGAGAGAGAGAGGAGGGGGGGGGGGAGATAACTCACGCCGTGAGTTTTCACGACATGGATAGCGAAGTTTCCCTTCCATTTCGCTGCTCCGTGCCATCCACCCCTTCGCCACCCCCCGCGAATCACCGGCGTGTTCTCGGCCCTACGTTGGGCTTTATGAAAATCCCGTTGAAGTTTAGTCGGGCGAAATGGCGTTGCGCAAAAGTTGCGCGAATGCGGCGGCTGGCAGCGTCGTACGCTTTGTCTACTCGGCCGGCTCGTTCCCCCGTTATTTCCCTTACGGAGAAAAAAATATTTCGGCAAAGAGAGAGAGAGAGAGAGAGAGAGAGAACCGAGCGGCTTGGAAGGAGAAACGCTCTTCGCTTTACCCGGGGATTCCCGAAGACTGTTTCCCGTTGAAAGAGCACAGCCGCGAAGTATCGTTCAGCGAATTATGCATGTAAATCACAATTGGCTTTTCGCGAATAACAGTGCGTGCACACGGAGTGGAGTTTCGAAGCATCCACCTTATTAATTCCAGATTATTCGATCGCTTTCGAATTCTAAACTGGGAGACGTTTCTCGAGGACAATCATCGTTTGCTGCAATCTTTTTACTAATTTGAATAATTTTAATATCGATATTTTAATATTTATATTTTTTATTTTGTGTGTTGTCGCTAAGCAGGCCGGAATTCAAATTGAAAGGCCAGCCGAAATGTAGCAATTAACATTTCGTTATTTAATTAAGCTTCACAAATGTTTTAATAAATTTTTACAATTTTGATGAGACATCGGACTCTGATAAAAGAACTTTCCAAGAACTTTCGCACATCTTGAGGGCAATTAATCTCCGTATCGAGAACATTTACCCATCATAATGGGGCCTCGAGAGTTTTTGAACGAGTCAGAAGTACGACCAAAGTTTCGACATTCAGCAAAACTTCATCACGATTGATAAATGAAAGGAACTTTCTTTATAGTTCGAGTATAATTAGAAAAATGCCAAATTAGCCGCTCTTGTTATCATTTCTCTGAGACTCGCTTCCCATTTGAAAACGTACTCAAATATATCTGCGGCCGTGTATAAAATATAGTATACGAGAGGTAAGAGGATTAACAGTAAGGAATCATGTTACACTTGTAACAATAAGTAATTACATTCGAAGACGGAAGTTTAAAGCGGCGCATTTTCGTGATAAGCGAGAACGAATTTAAGAAGCGAAAAACAATGACGTGTAATGACATCTACCTTGCGGTGCGTTTCACGTTCCCAAGTTTCAAACATCCGCGATCTACTTCATCGAGTAATACGAGTTAGGCAGAATTTGCGCCGGTACATGGAAGATTTAACAACGACTCGGAGTTGGGATCTTGTAGACGAGTCTTGTTCGCCAAATTTATCTCTAGGGACACAGGTACTTCACCGACCAGACTGTATCGCTGCACTGGGCGACCTACCTTCGCGGTTTATTCGTCTTCTCATAAAATCTCCGTCCGCTTCATCGCGACAAGCGCGAAGGCTACGGGTTTATCGCGGCGAGTCGATGATAACCGACGATAACGAGCGTCCCGACTCCCTAATGATCCATGTATCACTCCAACTATCTGGCCGAAAGTTCATCTTGTTATCGCGCCACCCAGGCAAACCGGTACGTTTTGATGAGCGCCGGCGTAGGACAAGATAAAGTGCCCCCGGTCGTAGCTGTGGCCAACGGAACGTCACTCTTTTAGACCAGAATCATAGGCCTTGTGGTGCTCGCACGTTTTCACCGCAGATTTTATTAGCTCTCTTCTGGACTGACTTAAAGCGAGAAAGACGAGCGCGCTTTCGCCGTAACGAAATAATAATAACAGAACTGATTTAATAATCAGACACTTTCTACGAAGAGTATATCGAGAAATTAAAAATGATCATTTCTCAAAAATAATAATCAATCGGTACTTATAACTTTAATATGATTATTTAATAGTTAATTTTGATGCAACATGTGTATTTAGATAAAAAATATTTAAGTTAAATTAATTGCAATTTTAACGCTTACCCTTCGCTTCTTTAATTTCCTTAGCTTCGTTGTCGACGATTTATTTTCGCGCGATTACATTGTTCGACAAGTGTTTAGCAGCGGCTCAAAAAGTGCGGTTCAAGAACTGCAAAATTTCAGGCCTGCAAATCCACTTTAAATACCACAGTGCTCCATACGCTTTTACAATTCACGATAATTCTCCGGTGGTTACTCATCGGTGCGCCTACTTTACATTCCACTTTTACGATATTACGTTACGCCGCTTGGAGATGGAAGCGGATCATTACGTTCCATCATGTTCCATTTAACAATATGACTTAGCGGGCGATACCAGGAAAAGTGACCATCGCGAGTTCCCCGGGGAAGGGCCAGCAAAGGGCAGGAAGATGGTATATACGTGATATCCCGTAGGATCGCGCGGGAGAAGTCGTTCTATTGACCCGTGGGAAAAATCCACTGGAATAGAAGGACACGGCCGGTGGGGTCTAAAACTCAATTTGTCAGCGTGTCGTAGCTTTCGGGATCTCCCTCCCAAAAATACCGCCTTAACCTTTTAGGGCCTCACGTCTCACCCAACGCTTACTCTTGTCATGTCGTGGCAAAAGTCCCTTTTCCTCCTTCCTTTCAAATTGCGTTACGCTCCGATTCCCAAAAAATATTCAACGGTAAAGACTCAAACAGCTGAAGGCAATTGTAATAACGTTACGGGCAAACTTAGGAGAGTTTTCCCTCTTGCAACGAGCAATCGCGAATGCTTAGTGAAATTTGTTTACTGTCGAATTATTTGATAACTACGCTGATAAAAAAATATCTTAATCAAAAAAATATTACTTTACTAAAAAAATTATTCATTAGGTGGCTCCTAATAGCTTGTTAACTTAAATTTAAAAAATAATAAACAAATTAAAACGTGCATTTCTTTAATTTATGTATTTATTAAATATCAAACAGTAGATAATTTTAAATTAAAAAACTTTTACTTTAATTCTATAAAAGGTTTACTAACGTATAAGTTTTACAGCGAAGAAAATTGGATTTCTTATTTGACAAAAACAATAATTTCATTTAATAAATAGTATTCTCTATCTAATGAAATCTTTAGTTGAATGTAGAAAATGTAACGATTTAAATTAATTTACTT